GAAAATGACTTAGGTCTACCTTTGATGATCAAATCACTTAAACACAAAGTCCATCCTCCTGTCCTTTTGAATGAAGTACTTGATGGCGGGTCATGCAGCTGATCCTTTGCCACTCCAGTTTATCATTGTAACTCAATCTTGAAAATGACTCGGTTAATAATTTTGCAACGATGTCCTCACTATCACTGACATGAGCCATCATGAACGAACTTGTGCTAATCATAAATCTATCGATTAGATTTATGATTCGGAACTAATAAAAGTAGGGTAGACATGTGGATATTATCCGGTTGAACAAAACGTGCATTTATCTAACAGGTTCGTTCCACAGACCTTATTTCCAGCTATTTTCCAAAATCCTATGGAGAAATCCCATCGCTTTTTTGCCGAGGGAAACCGAGCGCAGCTTACTTCCGGGTTGGACGCCACTGCACCACTTGCATAGACCTCACAGCGGGCGGAACTTGTCATAAAGTCCGCGAAAATAAAGCCCGCCCATTTAGAGGGAAGATATGATTGGTCAATTGTACTGTCATTTGACATTACTCTCTCGTTCAGTCACTATAGAGTGGCGAAGTCCCTCCCCTTCCGGTGGACCTCCATGGGACCTTATTTCGGAAAAATTATGTATTGAAGTCAATGGAGAGAGAAAGATTATCTTTCGATCCCGCTTGAATTGTGCCACAAATTACACATATGATGTTTGTNTATTTCCTGAACATCACTCGCCCAGAGGAACTTGTGTCCCGTTCAGAGCAAATTCCTTCTATTACTGTCCAATACGACGGATGATCGTAGAGTCATTAAGACTGAAACTGCGACGTAGTGTAGCATCGACAGGGAGAGGAGGCGGAGATGCCACTGGAAGAGACCCCGGCCAGGCACACGACGGTAGTCTTCGTAGGACGCACAGGTAGGTGTACGAACTGGACACACCGCACCGAACATGATACCTATGGAAAAAATCACATGACTTCCGTTTGACAGACTCATGCTATACCAAAACTTCCGTCAGTAGGCCATATAAAGATAGACTGAACACTGCACGCCTACGCAAACTCCTAATCTACCTGATGTATTGAAGCAGAGACTGACCGGTCACCACGACGGCAGTACTTCCAGTTCGACGGAGAATGGTAACGACTGACCAGCAGTGTATGGGCAGTTCTTATAGTTCGAAACTAGTGTAAGGTTGATGTGACTCTAGCAATTGAAAGACTAACAAGAGAAACTCGACACTTCACGATCGACGACAACCAACGACCGACAATAATATCTTCCCAAAGAAGAACGAGTCTCTCCGGACGACGAAAGAAGAAATGTCCTTCGACTTGAGCTCGATGTCTTAACGGAAAAGTCCGGAGGCGGGAGGACCGGTCGTCTACTTGTGCAATCTCTTGCGGCGTCGACATACCAATGTAGACCGAGACTCCGCGTCAGTCAAGTCCGGACATATATAGTAGATGGAAGTCTTTCTCTGTCGCAGAATAACAAAGCCAGGAGAAAACACGGTAGCTGCATTAGTGAATTATGTAAGGCAGAAGTCAACTTTCGCATACCTTCTGACAAGCTTACAAACCGGGTGATCTCCCTCAGTTTCGGTCACAACGACCGGTTGTCTCTCCGAGGGGAGATCCCGATTTACTCTAATTCCTCTCGCTTCCACGGTCTGAGTGAATCTCAATTACTCTAATTTGAGAGGTATATTATACTATCGTTTCAGTAATTTCCTCTTCATGAAGAAGGTCAAAATGAGAACGATTTTAATATACCTCTCTCGAATACTGTAATTGTTCCTCAAACACCTCTTGTAGTAGAAATGGACTTCTCCTTCCGACGACTTCTGGTCGTTGTGACCAAATTAGGGTTCAGTCCGGTTCGTAACTTGTCAACACATGCATGTACTTCGTTACCTGAAATTTCCTCATGCGTTTCCGTGTTTTCTCCTGGCAACTCTTCTTTCGGACGAGCAGGCTTCATCTACTATAGTCCGGACTTCTGTCCGCGGAGGTCTTCGGTCATTTGTATGTCACCGGTTAGTATATTTTGGGACGATACTGGACGAAAAGATGATCAAATCTTGGACAAAGAAGACCGAGCGTCTCTCCGCCTCCGATTTTCCGTCATGACGATCGAGCTCGTCGTAGGAATTTCTTCTTCGTCCGAGAACTCCTTCTTCTTCGGAGAGATTATGTCGTCGTTCGTTTCGTCCGAGCGTCGTCGTTTCGTCGAGGTCTAGTCGAGTTTCTCTTGTTAATCTCAACCTCCGTCGACATCGACTTACACTACCGTTTCAATTTCCACGAACTGCCCATACTTCTGGTCGTCCTACCATACTCGCTCGATGGAGTTTGCGTCGGTTGCAGTACCGTTCAGTCTCTGTAGACCGTGGACCTAGGTCTTGACGAAGTTTGGTCGATTTATTACCACCTCTTTGAACGGAGTCGTGTGGATGATTTTCCTTGACAGTTTGGTGCGCGGGTGCTCAGTTCGTACACCTACCTGTTCGTCCTACCTCGAAAGACTACGTCGTGTTCCGCCTGCCCGGGGTCTCTTCCAGTGGCATCTCCCCTCCTCTCCCTCCCTGTCGATGCTACACACGTCGCAGTCAGTCTAATGACTCTACGATCATTCCGTCGTATTGGACAGAATAGAGGATTTGCTCTGAACGGACACAAGTTCCTCTGGGCGAGTGGATGTTCAGGAAATATTTCTCGGAAGTTGGTACAGTAGCTGTTCGTTCCGTCTCCTGTCGTCGCTATTTAACATGATGAACCTTGTCAAGTGGCCTCCCCTTGGAGTTCTCGAACCAGGCGTCAACACCTCGTGTACCGTGGTGTCTCTCCGATGTTCCTTCGGTCCCGAGATGAGGTCTTTGTAATACCACTTACTTGAATTTTAACACGATGCGGATATACCTATTTCGAGATTCCACCGGTGTCTAGGTCTAGACTTCTGCCTTTTCGAGACTATATGGATACGGGAAAAGGACTAATGCACGCATTACGGTACCTCCTGTATCTCATATACCTGCTTTACTTGTTGGTTGATTGTACTCTCAGCAGCGGAGTTCCGAGGGTATGTTTCCACTTTCTTTCTACCTTCTCACGACGAAAGCTCCAAGTTCTCTTTTTCCCTGCTTCTCGTTCCAAATGTCTGGATCACTGGATATATATGTCTGCTAGTGTTACCGATTGCTGGGGGAGAACCTTCGACGTACTATGGTCCTGTTGATGCCTCCCTTTTCCAGTTTCGAATGCCGGTGCCTGAGATTTCGAACCTTCAGTCCGACCGTTTCCCCTTCGTCAAAACGGTGTCGACAACGAGGTTACTCACTTCTCTTTTTGTGGCGGGAGTTTGAATTTCTGTCCGGGAGTACGGGCTTTTCGGACAGTTAGGAAAGTTGTTTGGGACAAACAAGACGTGTATCTCTGGTGTGTGAGCTAAGGAACGTCTTATAGTTTTCGTTGTGGCTTTCTGTCCTAACTCAAAGACTTCGATTTCCGGAGACAAGAAACCTAAAGAATGTGTCCCTGTCCGAATCGTCTTTGACGTTATTTCCCTACTGACAGTTCAGACGAGGGATTTCTGTGGTCCTAAAACGTACAACTCTTCCTGTCCAGATGTAAATCTTTCGGTCTACTCTTGTGCAGTTACCAAGCACAGTGACTGCTTTCCTTTGCACTATGTGACCCCTGCCTCTACACATGACCGATATCATGGCCATTTTCAGTTCAGGGTCATTTCACTCTTCCAACACCTCTGCATACGGAAGGTACCTGGTCCTTCATGCCGCTGAAAGAGACGTGACTTAGTGAGCTTCTGTGTCACTTTGCAAGCTCCGTTCTTTTGGATGCTAAGGATGGAGACTTGATACCCAGGTCTCTTCGGTCGGGTTCAACATAGAACCAGCCTGGACCTCACACCACCTGAACTTCTTTCCTTCTGTAATTTGATGATTCCAGAAATGGTCATTCTTATATGCAGTTGCTTTCCTTTTTAGGGGACGTCCTCTGGATTTCGTTCACCGGTATAGACTCCTCCACTTTTAGCATGTAATCGACAGCAAGGCAGAGAGCAGCAGCGATAAATTGTACTACTTGGAACAGTTCACCGGAGGGGAACCTCAAGAGCTTGTCCGCAGTTGTGAGCACATAGCGCCACAGAGAGGCTACAAGGAAGCCAGGGCTCTACTCCAGAAACATTATGGTGATGAACTTAAAATTGCTACCGCCTATATGGATAAAGCTCTAAAGTGGCCACAGATCAGATCTGAAGACGGAAAAGCTCTGAATACCTATGCCCTTTTCCTGATTACGTGCCGTAATGCCATGGAGGACATAGAGTATATGGACGAAATGAACAACCCAACTAACATGAGAGTCGTCGCCTCAAAGCTCCCATACAAAGTGAAAGAAAGATGGAAGAGTGCTGCTTTCGAGGTTCAAGAGAAAAAGGGACGAAGAGCAAGGTTTACAGACCTAGTGACCTATATATACAGACAATCACAAATGGCTAACGACCCCCTCTTTGGAAGCATGTATGATACCAGGACAACTACGGAGGGAAAAGTCAAAGCTACGGCCACGGACTCTAAAGCTTGGAAGTCAGGCTGGCAAAGGGGAAGCAGTTTTGCCACAGCTGTCGCTCCAATGAGTGAAGAGAAAACACCGCCCTCAAACTTAAAGTACAGCCCCTCAGCCGCAAAGCCTGTCAATGCTTTCCAAAAACCCTGTTTGTTCTGCCATAGAGACCACACACTCGATTCCTGCAGAATCATCAAAGAGCAACAACCGAAAGACAGGATTGAGTTTCTGAAAGCTAAAGGCCTCTGTTTTGGATGTCTTACACAAGGACACCTTAGCAGAAACTGCAATAAAAGGATGACCTGTCAAGTCTGCTCCCTAAGACACCCAGGAATTTTGCATGTTGAGAAGGACAGTGCTACATTTAGAAAGCCAGGTGAGAACATCTCAAATGGTCTCGTGTCACTGACGCAGGAAACATGTGGATACACTGGGGCCGGAGAATGTGTACTGGCTATAGTACCGGTAAAAGTCAAGTCCAGTCAAAGTGAGAAGGTTGTGGAGACGTATGCCTTCATGGACCCAGGAAGTACGGCAACTTTCTGCACTGAATCACTGAAGACACAGCTGAACGTTCGAGGCAAGAAAACTACGATCCTACTCCGAACTATGGGTCAGGAGAAGCCAGCCCAAAGTTATATCTTGTCGGACCTGGAAGTGTGTGGACTTGAAGAAAGGAAGTACATTGAACTCCCTAAGGTCTTTACATGTAAAGATATACCGGTCAAGAAAGGAAACATCCCCCTGCAGGAAGACCTAAAGAAGTGGCCATATCTGAAGGAGGTGAAAATCCCAAAGATAAAAGAAGAAGTCACCATGCTTATAGGAACCTACACCCCTAAAGCTTTGGAGCCACGGCAGGTGATAAACAGCATCAGAGACGGGCCCTATGCAGTTAAGACTAGGGATGGGTACCGAGCCCCGGTATTAAAGGAGCCCCAGGGCTGAATTATTAAAGACCGTGGTACTGTTAAACTCCGACGTTATCTGTCTTTTTATCGGACATGTCATGTGTATTATTGCTACATTAACATTATATCGCAGTCTTAGTGTTGCCAACTCCGTTTCTAATATGCAAAAAAAATAAATGCGTTTATGATGTATTTTCGATCTTTCCAATCCAGACGAGAGATCTCTCTCCCTAGTCTGTGTGCGAGGGGGCGGGGCAGTTTACACACACGCAGCTGCTACATGCAGCAACACACACACGGAGGAGATGGCAGAGAGAACTAAGCGCTAAAAGGTGTGGTTAAACTTTACCCGTCTCGATGTGGACAATGCTCGTTACCAAAAATGCAATAAGAGTTTAGCATGTAAGGGCGGTAACATGAGCAATTTGTCTAAACATTTAGCAAAAGTGCACCACATCCAGACGGAGAAATGCACCGGGTTCGACTGTCTTTCTAGTAGCTCTGTAGCCCCATCCACAAGTAACTTTTCCACGTCAGGTATGTTATGTATGCAAGCAGCAACACACGGAGTTAACTACATTATACAAAAATGGGTTAATGATTAGAGGTAACCGAGTTGTTTATTTTGTTAAAGTTTCAGCTATTCTGTTTACAGTTCTGTCATCAGATTATTTAATACCATTTGTACCACGCTGATGTAAAATATTATTTATTTAATTTAAATAAAAAGCAATGTTCATTTTGTTTACAATTTGTTTAGTTAGTTTACCTTCTTTTTTTTCTTCCAAAAGAACCGATAAGAGTACCGTTAAAAGACCGGATCGATAAGTGGTATCGATAAAAGTAGTAGTACCGTTAAAACCTTAACGGTACCCATCCCTAGTTAAGAATGCCCTTGGATGGGTAGTGAATGGGCCGAAGAAGACGGATGATGGCAGCAAGGCAGCGGATGGAGTTGTGAGCCACATTATAGCCAACCACATCTCCATAGCTAATATAGAGGAACTGTTAATAAAGCAATATAACACAGACTTCTCAGAACTCAGCTGTGAAGACAAAGAACAGATGTCCCAGGAGGATCATCAGTTAATGCGGTCAGTGGTAAAATCTGCAGAGTTAAGGGATGTACACTACTGCATCGGCTTACCACTGCGAAACGAGACAGCTAAAATGCCAGACAACCGCTGCATGGCAGAGCAACGTGCCACAAGTCTCCAAAGAAAGCTCAGCAAAAACCCGGACCTGTACAAAGATTACAAGGAATTCATGACGGGTATAATTGGAAAAGGCTACGCTGTCAAAATTCCCATAGAACAGTTAAGCCGAGAAGATGGACGTGTGTGGTACATACCTCATCACGGTCTCTACCACCCAAAGAAAAACAAGATAAGAGTAGTGTTCGACTGCACCTCCACATATCAAGGAACCTCACTTAACGATCAGCTGCTACAAGGACCTGACCTCACAAACTCCCTTGTTGGTGTCCTTCTGAGGTTCAGAGAAGAGCCTATTGCTTTGATGGCCGACATTGAGGCGATGTTCTACCAGGTCAAAGTCCTTGACCGAGATGCGGATCTTCTGCGTTTCCTTTGGTGGCAGGATGGTGATCTGAACAAACTGATGGAAGACTACCGAATGACAGTGCACCTGTTCGGAGCTACATCGTCTCCCAGCTGTGCATCATATGCACTAAGAAGAACAGCACAAGATGGAGGAGGCAAAACAACACCAGAGGTGGTGGAAATGGTTCTCAGAAACTTTTATGTGGATGACTGTTTAAAGTCTGTGGATTCAGAAGACCATGCTGTTGCTTTGGCCAGGGACCTCAGACATCTGTGCGCCAGTGGAGGCTTCAGGCTGACAAAGTGGGTCAGCAACAGTAGGGCCGTCCTGTCGTCCATCCCTAAAGAAGACAGAACAACGGAAGTCAAAGATCTTGACCTGAACCATAAGCAGCTTCCTATGGAAAGAGCCCTTGGTACTCAGTGGTGCACTGAATCAGACAGGTTCAAAGTGCAACCACAGGACAAACCAGCTACAAGACGAGGAATCCTTTCCATCGTTAGCTCCATCTACGACCCCCTCGGGTTCCTGGCCCCATTGGTACTGCCAGCAAAGCTCCTTCTGATAGACCTTTGTCGGGAAAAGAGAGGCTGGGATGAGAAAGTAGACAGTGGGCAAGCCCAGAAATGGATGAAATGGCTGGACGACCTTGACCAGCTGTCAAAGTTTTATGTGCAGAGATGCGTCAAACCGGCAAAGGTTGAACCCATGAAGATGGCACAGCTCCACCACTTTTCCAATGCCAGCATGGATGCATATGGAACAGCTACCTACATCGTGCAGACAAACAACCAAGGCAAAAGAAAGGTTTCCTTGCTGATCGGAAAGTCCAGTCCACTGAAACACATCGCCATTCCGAGAATGGAGTTGACAGCAGCAGTTGTCGCTGTCAAGGTCGACAAGATGCTAAGAAGGTCTTCTGGACAGACAGTACTACTGTACTGAAATTTATTGAAAACTAAACGTCTCTCTTCAAAACCTTTGTCGGAAACAGGATCTCAATCATTCGTGAGGCTACTACACCAAGCCAATGGAGATATGTGAACACCTCTGTGAACCCTGCGGATCAAGCTTCAAGAGGTCTGAAAGTTGAGAGTTTTATCCAAAGTGAGAACTGGATACAAGGCCCACGTTTCCTGTGGAGAAATGAAAGTGAGTGGCCAGAAAGACCAGATCTGTCAAGCCATGTTCTGGAAGATGACGATGAGGTAAAGAAGGCACCTGCAGTCTGTCTTACAATAATAGACGAAGGAGTTGCCACAGTGAGCAAGCTCATTGATCATTATTCAAAATGGTGTAAGCTGAAGAGAGCAGTGGGATGGTTTCTCCGGATTAAAGATCTGCTGCTGCAACTCAGTGGAAAAAGGAAAGAGTTCCAAGCCGCCTGTATTAAGTCAGAAGACAACCCTGCAAATCAAGAACAATTTCTTAATCAGCAGATGAAGAAATACAGAGCCACACTAAACAAGAATCTGCTCACCGTGGAACATTTGGAGTTAGCTGAAAAAGCGCTTGTTCGCTTCAGCCAAAGGCAGGCATATCTGGAGGAGATCAAAGCTTTGGAGAAAGGACAGACACATGTCAAGATGAGTAGTCCACTCAGCAGATTGGATCCTGTTCTGGAAGACGGCGTACTTAGAGTAGGTGGACGGCTAAACAACTCTGCTATGCCAGAGGAGGCTAAGCGCCCCCTCATCCTCTCTAAGAACCAACGTGTCGCTACTCTCCTTTTGCAACACATCCACAGAGAAGTTGGACATGGAGGCAGGAATCATACACTCCAAGAATACAGTAAAGGTGTATAATTAGATCCTAAGGTCATGTAGGTTTTAAGCGCGTGTCTATCGTTATTCGAACTGAGCCTGTTTTAAATGCAGAGTCCTATCAAACAAAAAATAAATGTGTTTGTTCCATAGTTTATGCTTGTGTAGTAAAGAGAGTCTAGTTTTTTATACAACGAGCCACCGAAGAAAGAGGAAGAGTGGTGGGGTTAGTGGTCGTCGACGACAAACGATATTGCAGAGCATAGTGCATGTCGCGACGCCAGCAAGGGATACGGCAGTTAAAGTGTGCCGACCAAGTTTTATTGGTACTATACTATCGTGATTATTGTTTCCTAATATTATAAGTTTATCATGTAAAATTTGTATACCGAAGGATGTAAAGGCCGGGATTAACCCGATCCGCCCCTCGTATGGTCCATGATTTTATTGAATTTATCCAAAAAAAAAAAAAAAAAAAAAAAAAACCCTGGTATATTAGCATTTGTCATAAATTCGTTGAAATGCTTGAATAATAAGGAAAAAAGAATGACCTCCAGGCAGAAAAACAAAGGAACCCCCCCCCGCCCCCCCGGGTAGTGTGACGAAGCTCTTCTGATCTGTCTCCGAAGCACTAACCAGAGTGATTCTGTGACCGAACCAGAAGTGCGACTGCGATGCATGTCGCGGAAACCACAGACTGTATCAGAATTTCCTGAGAAAGGGTAGTGGGTACTTAAATGCTCCCCGACTCAGTAGGTGTTAATTCTACTACAAAAGGACCGACCTTCAAAGAGGAAACCCACACCAGGGTGAAGAACGCGAGAACATCCTCTCCATCCTATAAGGGCACCAGGTAGAAGCTGGTCTTGTTACTCAGCGTCTATAACCCGTAGAGGCAGAACTTATGGAGGAGAGGAGGAAAGGACTTGTTGGGGACCCCCGTGCGAACTAAATCTGAACTCTTGTTGTTCACCAAACCACACTCACGGAGTTCCCAGTAACCCAGTAGTCTTTAGAAACACTACCCGTCCCTAGAATATTTACCTGAAGGTGGGAGTGGTATCGTGTCAGACTTCCGGGAGTAGTAGGTACCGAACGAAACAAAACATCGTGACTTATTCTAAAAGGATTGTCACGCATAAACAGAAAGGTGTGAGAAGGTACACCACCTTCGTGGGCCCCCTAACGTTCTAGGGTGAACCTGAGGAAACAACATTGCTAACGTAACACATAAAAGCCTGGCTAAGTCGAGAAGTTAACCAAGTGCATCGAGAGAAAGACGGGGTTGTTTAACCACGGCAATAGTCTAGCATAGTAGCGGTGGACAGGAGAAGAACGGACTACTTTCGCCGCCGTCTCGCTAACTACGTTCTTAAGGCCTATAGTTCCCCTCATTCGGTGGAGCTATACGTGACGAGACTAACGGTCCCTGTTCACTTCTAGCTGCCGGTATGGCAAAGTGGTCCCGACGCAAGGCGAATTAAAGCTTTCCCAGGCTTCATCAGATGAAAAGCTGCAACCATTTCCCAAGTAAGACCGTTATGTGGCTAGAAACCGTCCAGCGGTAAAAGACCGACCAGGTCGGAACCCGTACATCAGAGGACGTGTGGACAATGTTAGTCAATACTAGTAAGAATGACGACGCAATCGGAAACCCTTAGGTCATGAGACGGAAT